AAAGAGAGAAAATGGATCCCCCCCACACACACACACACACACTTTTGTGCGGTCATAAACTAACCTAATTTCCCCCTGGGATAAATGAAGTATTCCGATTCTGACATTAGATATTCAAAAAAGTCAGCACCATAATAAACCCTTCATTTATGAATGCTTCTTTTATGACTGGATTTTTGTTCACCAAATAAATCCAAACAATAATGACAGCATCACATACGCAAGCGGATTTTTGGAAGAAGTTTTACAGAATTAAAAACAGATTGAATACCGTTTGTCTAACATGTCGATTTTATTGTATATATTCAAAAACATTCATACCAGGAAACATAGCGATATATTACAAGGACAAGGTTTGTTTTAAAAAACTAAAAAGAACAGAATAGTAACATGGGGGGTTACAGTGTTATTTAATGCATGCACATGATTTACTTCATAACATAGATATACTTTCGTTAATTAATGTTAGATTTTCTGTTCTTAATATTTTCTCACACACACACACACACACACACACACACACACACACACACACACACACAGACCCCTAACCAGGTCTCCTTTGTGTGTGAACGCCCCTCATGCATATTTATCTTGGACCAAGTCAGTGCAGAGACCTGTACACACACTCTCACTGAGATGAGTATATGGAAGAAGAAAACTTTAAAAGGTTTCCTGTGAGAGCGCCACCTGGCTGCAGGAGACTCACTGCTGTCACCTGAGAGACTTGTGTTTAGCAAGCTGAATCATGGGAGTTTAAATGAGCCCAGATCCAAACTACAACACCAGTACGACAGACAGAAAAGTACATTTTCATCCAAGAAACACGGCCGTAGTTCTCACTGAGTATACTAAAGGGCCTTTGCAGTTTAAAATAACACACAGTAGGTTTTTAACAGGCTTTTGTTTAAGGCTCAACATAAGAGATGACATTACATTACATTTTAACGGTGTCTTAATCCAAAGCGACTTGCATACACTTTTAAATATAATAACGTACACATGCCTTTAGGAAGAATGTGGGGTTAAGTATCTTGCCCACGTTTTTTTGTACATTCTTACTGCAGGGGCTGTGGATCGAACTGCTGACCCTCTTATCAAAAGACACATTTGTTACCACCTGGTCCATAGATGCAGCTAAATTATTGTTCAAAGAATCAATGAACTGATCAGTGGAACATGAATCAGCAGCATTTTGGTAATTGATCATGAATTTCAGCAAGAAAAGCCAACAATTCCCTTGCCGTGGTTTCAAAAAGGGGATTTATTTTCAGGAGTGTTTGGTCTTTGATACAAGAGAAGTATTTTGTTTCTGGACTGTTGGTCGGACAAGACATTTAAAAACTGTTTAATTGACAATATTTATAATTGTTAGTTGCTGTTGTCCATACAAATGTGATCATTTCTACTACTGGCAGTGTGGAAAAGGTTTTAATAAAACATTTAATCCCGCCATCCATTCATCCATCTTCTCCCGCTTATCTGTGGTCGGGTCTCGGAGGTAGCAGTTCCAGCAGAGAGCCCCAAACGTTCCTTTCCCTGGCCACATCAACCAGCTCTCACTGGGGGATCCCAAGGCGCTCCCAGGCCAGTGAAGAGATATAATCCCTCCACCTGGTCCTAGGTCTACCCCTCGGTCTCTTCACAGCTGGACGTGCCTGGAACACCTCCCTAGGTAGGCGCCCAGGTGGCATCCTAACTAGGTGCCCGAACCACCTCAACTGGCTCCTTTCGACCCGAAGGAGGAGCGGTTCAACTCTGACTCCCTCCCGGATGACTGAACTTCTCACCTTATCCCTAAGGGAGACACCAGCCACCCTGCGGAGGAAACCCATCTCAGCCGCTTGTACCCGCGATCTCGTTCTTTCGGTCATGACCCATCCTTCATGACCATAGGTGAGGGTAGGAACGAAAATGGCCCGGTAGACAGAGAGCTTTGCCTTCTGGCTCAGCTCTCTTTTCGTCACCACGGTGCGGCTGCTCCGATTCCCCGGCCCATCTCACGCTCCATTGTTCCCTCACTCGAGAACAAGACTCTGAGATACTTGAACTCCTTCACTTGGGGTAAGGACTCATTCCCTACTTGGAGTGAACAGTCCATTGGTTTCCTGCTGATCCCGTCATTTCAGGAGATAACAATTACAGTAGGCATGATCAAACAGAGACTGTCCAAATATTTAGACCATTTTGCAGGACAAACTCCCTCTCTATACCTACATTATCTTTCTATTCGTATAACTCTGAACACTTTACAAACCTTTAAGACTGTGTGTGTTCACTTTTGCGTTCGTTATCGTCACTACCGTCCTGTCTCTCCACACAAACAGGAAATCAAGTTGTAAGTTCATCTTTCTGTCTGTAGTCTGTTTGCATTTTGATGAGTGTGAGCACTAGGCGTGTGTTCACAGAGCTTTTCAACATCCTGAAATATCAAGTGTAGGGAAGGTTTACACAGTAACGCACAATTTAACCGATGGTAAATAGGACGGTCGTGTTGGTTTAAAGCAAAGCAGGAGGCAGCCAACACCCACCCTGGTTCAATAAAGGGAACAAGAAGTGAATACAGTACAAGTGCATCACTGTTTTTACTAGGGGTGTAGCGGTTCACAGAATTCACGGTTCGGTACATACCTCGGTTTGGGGGTCACGGTTCGGTACAACAAGAAAAAGCAAAAAAAACTCCCAAATGCATAATTCCAGGTTTGTTGTTATTTATTTTTGAACAGTAGTGCACGTTTCAGTTAAAAAATAAGGAACTCTGACATTTTTAATAATTAACTGTATTAAACGGTTAAAAACAAACCACAAACAGTACCACACACCCAGATGGCCAGATTATCTATAATGGCTGATGTCAAACAAAAACGTTTCATCAAGCTGTAAAACTAGCATACCGCACCGCTATCGAACAACGCCGACACACCGTCCTCGTCCGATCCACCACTCGCACTCCATCGTTATTGTAGTCCACAGGGAACCCGAAATGTTCCCGGCACACAGCTGATTTAAAAGAAGCAGGTGGGTTCTAGCTCCTGTGTGTTATCTGAAATCACTTTACTAACTTTTCTTCTTCTTGTATTTTGTTCGTTTTTGTTGTGTTTCTTCTTGTTCTTCATTTGTTGTTTAAGGGCGGCTGGCAAACAGCTTTTAGGCGCAATACGGCCCCCTGGATTATAAATAGTGTAATGGATACTGCCCTGAATGATAGGCTTTTTTCCCAAAAGGCGTATTCGTCGTGTGACTGCATGTGCGGTTACGTCCGAACCGTGACGGTACGGGACGAATACGGATACCGTTACACCCCTAGTTTTTACTTTTCTGCAACTTTGTCACGTTATCTTCTCCCCGCTGATCCATATCCCATCCTCCTCCTCTAAAATCTTTAATTTGATCTTATCGTAATAAAATAAAAAGCTTTCATTCACCTTCAGACACTAATTTTGTATTCATTTGAATCTCCCAGAAAAGGATATTGTCTCTTGGCCCGTGACATTTTGTTGAGTTGTTGCTATAACCCTTCATTCCCTTGTTCATCATCAGAGGGATAAAGTTTGAGTGCATTTACTCACATTTCTTTATTTCATTTTTGTCCCACAGCACCTGAACAAGACCTACAACACAAACGTGCCGCTGGTCCTCATGAACTCCTTCAACACGGACGAAGACACGAAGAAGATCCTGCAGAAGTACACACACCACCGCGTCAAGATACACACCTTCAACCAGAGCAGGTGAGAGGACATGCTAAAAATATCTCAAGAGAAATGTGTGTGTGTCATGTTGAGGAAACACACTGCTGATTCACAGTTTAGTTATTCAACAGTAGATTCTGAGTTAGGTTTCTGTCACACCAGATATTGAACTGGATATTAAACATGAGGAACAAGAAAGCTCAAAGATTGGTTTCAGTTTTGGCACTTCAGAAATTTTTTCACTGCCAGTCAGCGGTATGAACGAACTGGTCTTTATTTCAGTGGACAATCCTCTGCTGTGTTTCCAGACAGGAAATGTCATGTAATGTATGGAGAAAGCCGTTAATATTTAATGCCTTGGTCTCCTACTTGTCAGTCGAGTGGGACGTGATTTTTATGGTTTCCCTTTGAATTATTTAGAGCACTTGTATGTTCTTGGTGGCAGAAACAGTGGGGGGGAGGTGTTGGAGATTTATGGTTAAATGTCGGCTCAGAGGAAGTGGTAGAGGAGATGAAATGTCAATCAATAGGAGGACAAAGAGAAGGGGCTGTGAGAGTAATTTATAAAAAGGTGAGTTGCTGATGGGGGCTTCATCCACCAGACGAATTCATTTATTTTTTCCAATTTCAACTCCTTGTTTTGAAAGTGACGAGCAGAGTGAGTAAGCAGTCAAACACTGTGTCTTTTTAATATTTAAAAAAAACGTTTTCAACCTAATTCATGCAGGAATCCCCAATACCGAGTCAATTGAAATGCAAATTCAGTTTGATACAGCGAATAAAGCTATTTTATTCATTGTAATAACTAACAATATCATTAAGTATCAAATCAAATCAAGTTTTATTTATATAGCACATTTTTAAAACGATTTTTGGTCGAGCCAAAGTGCTGTACATATAATACAGAAAAAATACAATGAGGACACTTTACAACAAATGCAACAGCACAGTATGAGAAAATGACACCCTCTGTCCTTAGACCCTCACATCGTACAAGGAAACACTTCCAGAGAAAAACCCACAGTTTAAAGGGGAACATGGGAGTAGTGAATGAAATAGATAAGAAAAAGATTTTTAAAAACGTGTAAACAATGAAATAGTTGACCAAAGTCAGTTGATGAAAACAGACTAATGAAACAGTCTTTTGCACTTTATCAGATTGACTGCTGATATTAATCAACAACTCAATGGTTAATGATGCTGAACGTATTCATTTGATAGGATGTACATTAATATCCCCGAGTATGTTGGAAAGAATAACTTCCACCTAAGGCAGTAATGTGAATCAAAGAAAGGGAAAACACTCCTGTGGTTGTAACAAAATGTTCGGGACATAAAGCCTTTGAAGTGTGTGAGCTCGTATCAAACCCTTCGTCTGAATCCTCCCCCCGTACAGTCAGCTGGACTTAGATCTCTTAAAAATGCCTCAGCTGTTCAACTCCTCTCACCTGACCTGCCCTTCTGCTCTCTGAAGTGCCAAAAACACAAAAACCTCAGCCCAATCCCACTCAGTGAGCTCCTCCTGTCGAGGTCTGCTAACTCAACCTGACGGGACCCTCCTTAGAAACCCTTTGATCACTTTAATGCAGCGATGATGATGATGATGATGATGGCTCGGGCTCTCTGGCGTGTTTCCTCATCTTTCCTTCTCGGAAAATAGTGTTCTGTCTGAAGTCCTGCAGTGATATGGAAAGATGAAATGCACTTGGCAGTTTGCATGATACTAAAGCTCAGAGTTTCTTGGCAGATTTCACACCGTCTGCTTTTACTCTTGTTCATGTGCAGACTGTGATTCACAGCTCTGCAGATAAATGAGTTCAGCTGTTCTCTCTTAATATCTGGTGAACAAAGTGGAGCATTCAGCAGCTAGAGCTGATATATCAGGCGAGCACAAACTACTATTTTTAACTAGAAGCTAATATTGCTTACTGTATTCTGGTGGTGTACTGTTTGCTAACTCTATACATCAGTTTGTGGGTACGTGTCAGTATGTGTATAAGCATCTTACATTATATTTCATGGTATTTGGCTGACGCTCTTATCCAAAGCGACTTGCATTCCACTTTTTTTTATTAGTCATTTTAGTTTAGTTTTTAAAGTCCACTATTCTGCTCCAGGCCTTTTAATCTTACATTACATTATTACATTACATTACTTGTTAGACGCTTTTATCCAAAGCAACTTACATACTCAATACTGTGGGCAATCCCCACAGGAGCAATTTGGGGTGAAGTGTCTCAGGGACACAACGACATGCTGACTGCAGTGGGGTTTGAACCTGTGCTCTGATCCAAACACCAACGCACTAGCCCACTGCGCCACAGCCTCCTATGCTCCTAACCCTTTAAGATGAGAGTTGATGTAGTAGTGCATTCTTTTAAGCTAAAATACATTTTGATGAGATTAAAGGTTCAGTCTTTTATTCATTTCAGCAGTAAAGTATCAACGTTTTTGATCAGAATGAACCAAAATCTTAAAGGTCGCCTATAATGCAAAATCCACTTCTTCATGTCTCTTCTACATCAACATGTGTCCCCTCTTCTTCATGTCTCTTCTACATCAACATGTGTCCCCTCTTCTCCATGTCTCTTCTACATCAACATGTGTCCCCTCTGTGTAAAGAGACTCTGAAAGTTTCAGGAACAAAGATTCTCTCTCTTTTTGTCCTGATCCATTTCTATAAAAACCTGTCTGAAAATGAGCTGATCAGATTTTGGCCACTTTATGATGTCATAACGATGTTTTGGCTTGAGTAACCATTAGCCAATCAGCAACCAAGGTAACCCCCCC